CCTCCCTCCCTTCCTTGCTTTTTTGATGAGTTACATCTTTACTGTGGAAAAGCTGAGTTGCCATAAGGAACACAACAGGATCTTAAGCCCACCTATTTCCAGCATCTAGGGGCCGGGTTCCCGTACACAGCCCCCCACCTCAGCCCCAGATGTATTTATTCCCTTCAGCAAAAATCACTTCCTGCCTCTGACCCTGGACCTGCCACTGGCCACAAAACAGGCACAACTCTTCGGGGTGACACCCCGCCAGGTAATTCCCAGGCACAGTCTCCTGCCCTCAGGCTTCCCCCAGCCTGTGGTCCTACAGCGCTGGGTGTGGGTGCTGCTCACCGCGTCACTGGTGGTGGTGACCGTGGTGACCGCAGTGGCCCGGTGGAGGGGAGCCTGGCGGCGGAGGGGAGAGGGGAGGGGGTGAGAAGAGGAACCAGACGCCGCAGGCCTTGCCTGGGGGAGTGCGGCTCCGAAGGGGAGCAGAGAGACGGGGACAGAGACGGTGGCAAACCAAAGGAAGTTTGTGTTTCTTTTCTGCTTTGTTTTGCTGGGAGCGACTCCGGTTTGGTGCAGCGGTTCCACGTGGCACATGGCTACGTGTTCAACGCTTTGGCGTCAGCCCAAACCTACCTCTTCATTCCTCTCACTCGGGCACCTTTAACTTCTGTAACCTCGGACAGGTCACTTCTCTGAGCTCCAGTCCCTTTGCTGTAAAACAGGGACCCTAACTGTTCCTGCGCTGTGCGGTTACTGCAGGGACCACGTAAGGCGGGGTATGTGAGGCCCTCGGCAGAGTGCCTGGCGCACAGCAAAGCCTCAGTCAGTGTTGTCGTCACAGAGGGAGTCGATCAAAGAGACCAGCCCTGCAGAAGACAAGGGGGATGACAGAGCCCAGCCCCTCAGCCAAGTCCCTGAATTGCTACAGGACCTAGAGATTGTGGTGGCCTGACGCTGCAGTGAATGTTTTATGCAGAGTGTGGTCAGAGAAGGTAGGACAGGAGCTGGGGCCTCATGGAGCTCATGGAACTGGCTGTATGAACTGGTTTGGGATCCGAAAGCTACTAGATGGTTGTTTAACACGTCTCTCGGTAGGGTAAAGTTTGGCCCAAGACTTGCTCTCATTGTTTCCTGGCAGCCAGGTTTGCTGGGGTAGCGAATTCTCATGTCAGATTTTCAGAGGTCGCCACCACCTAGCACCGAGAGCCTAAAAATTATAAACGACCCAATTGGCTCCGATCAGGTCATAGGAGGCTCCAGAAGTGGGCTTTTGAAGCAAAGGATAAAAAGACCAGGAAATTAAGAGAGATGAGGGATCACGGTGGTTAAGCTGAGAAAGAAAATGGAGCGTCCAAGGGTAGAGAGGTTATGTCATCTTCAGATCAATCTCTTCACCTCCCCGGCAGCAGCCCCCAAAGGTTGCTCAGCGGCTGAAAGGCAACCAACTGACTGGACCAAGGTCTGTGGGATGGGCCTTGCAATGAGCTGCCACCACAACTTGCATTAGGAAACTTATCAAGTAGCTTAATTATGACTGTCCTGTGGGTGGCGTCCACTCCCCGGGCCCACTCATTATATCTTCTGTTCATGGAACAACTGAGGCTTCCAACTAAGGGTCCTTGTATGTAAGGCTTTGAACAGGGAACTGATTGGGGGAACGTTTCTTAAATTTTTCTTTGAGAGCCTCTGGGTGAGAGGCAGTTTCTGTCGCTGAAGGACAGTTGTCTCCCTACTTTCAGCGCAGAGAATGGGTACCTGAAACATTCAACAGGAAGCTGTCTGTCTGCTTCCCACAAGGGGTTTCAAATCATGTCAGGATTCAACCCCCAAGCCCATCACTAATCTGAGAAAAAAGTAAGATAGGAAAGAAGAAATGTTTTGGATCAAAAACAGAATATTGTAACTGGATATTCCCGCCCTCAGTAAATCCATGTTCGAGAAAGTTCTTTGACTTCAATAGATAATGGCATCTTCATCAGCAATCACTTTGATGAATTCTCCTTTGTGAAGCTAGTTAGATATCTGTTAGATCAGTAATGGGCTCTTTTTTCCCCAAAGTTGTATAATTCAAAAGGGAAGGATAGTTCTTCATAAAAAGTGAGGAGAACTATTAGGTCCCCAGAATGATCCAGGAGAGAGAGAGAAAGTGAAGTGCAAACATGTACTAGTGAGTACTCTAGAGAATCAGAACTAACAGGAGATAGACAGGCTGACAGACAGACAGATACTGATTGAGAGAGTCTGGGGAAAGGCCTGAAAATCTGCATTAAAAATATCTCCCTTGGCGATTCTTGGGATTTCGGGGATGTTGGGACACAATGGATGCACAGCGCCTCCTGCAGGAAACTCTGCAATGACTTAAACTCCAAGGCCAGCTGCTGCAAAGACTAAACAAAATTCAAGCAGCCAAAGGCCTAGGGTGACACAGAAACCTTCTACCCAAGGGCAATCATGAGGTGATCTTTTTTTGAAAGTTCCTTCCAAATGAAAAAGCACCACCTTCTGCCTCAATCCAGGGCGCTAACTCATTACCTTCGTCTAATACTTTAGGGAGAGCATAGTTTCCAGAGTATTCTGGTGTCTGGGCAATTCAAAATAATCTGAAATGGCTCTGAGATGCAGAAGAGAGATTCAGTCTGGGAGGCACTGAGATCTGGTAACAGCCCCAAAACTTGATGGGGACGTGAGCTGGGCTCTAGGGAAGGGCCTCTCTCCTGTCCTTTCTAGTTCATGCTCAGGATATTTGTTTTTACTGGAAAAAACCACCTGGAGGACTTGTTAAAATGCAGATTGCTAGGCCCTTCCCTTTGAGCTTCTGATTCCTTAAGTTGGGTTGAGAGCTGAGAATCGGCATTTCCAGCAAGTTCCCAGGTGCTGCTGCAGCTGCTGGGCTGGGGACCACACTCTCGGAACGACTATGTTAGATCAATGCCAAGACCTGCTTGGGATGCGAGACCTGAATTGGAATCATAGGTGTATGAACAGCTCATGGCCCAAATCAAGGTGTGACTGGCTCTGTGCACTCTTGAGAAAGACTTGTGTTTTTTAAAATTTTTTTACTTCAAGACTTATAGACTTTACTTTAGACTTACAGTCGAGTTGCAAAAATAGTAGTTTTCATATACCTTTTACCCAACTTCCCCCCATGTTATCATCTTGCATAACCACAAAGCAACCATCAAAACCAAGAATTTAACCTTAGTACAAGACTATTATTAACTAGATTACAAGTTATTGGATTTCACCCCCATTCCCACCTGTAACAGTACACCAACCAGCCTTCTTGTCTTTCATTAGCTTCACAGTTTTATTTTGTAGGACGTCCCTCACTCTGTCTGTTTTCTCACGATTAGATTGAAGTTATGTGCTGCTGGGAAGGATGTCACAGAGATGCTGTGCCCCTCTCAGGGCATCCTTTCAGGTGGTGCGTGACATTGGTATGTGCTACTGGTGATGGTAACTTACTTGATTAATGTGGTGTCTGCCAGAATGCTACATGGGAAGGTTACTAGATATTTTGGTGGAGATCCTTTGAGGTTACAAATACCCTGATTCTGCTTAAACTTTAATGTCACTCATTTTAGTGTCCATCAGTGGATCCCTCCTGAAGCAACTGTCACCTTGATGTCCTCCTGATGGCGGTTCTGTTTCCCTTCTTCCATGTTTATTCCTTGGAATTCTTCTGTATGGGAGAGTTGTTTCTTCTATGGTTGAAGATCTCTGACGTTGGAGCTGCAGAGCCTCAAGTTCAAAGCCCAGTCAGTGCTGCTATTTAACTCACTTCTGCCGCTGGGCACTTCTGGCATGGGAAAGAAAATATTTGGGTTTGCCAGCTGGAAGAAGAGGCAACCAGCCTGAAGAGGGAGCTGCTGCCGGAGGGCTCTGAGGCTGAGCGGAGCCTGGATGGAGAGCCCGACTTCCCCATATGGAGACCTGGGTTCCCCTAACTGCGCACCATCGGCCCTGAGAACTCAGACAAGGAGCAGTCCCTCGGTGCCTGTTTCCTTGTGTGAAAAACAAGCGGGGTGGATGGGCTGGTTCCTAAGGGTGCTCCCAGCTCTGATGGTTTCTGCTCAACACTTCATTAGGCCCAGCTTTCCTCCTTTATCTTCTTTACTGACCCCTCCATTCCTCATCATTTCTGGAAGCACTGTGTGTACACCACTCTTATCGTATAAAAACAACAGCCCCTTTTCACTCTGCTCGCACCCCCAAACTGTTCTGTGCTGCACACGTGAGGATGAACAGTCCTTGTTCCCAGTGTGGACATCCTAACTACTCGGGAGGTTATGCAACCAGACTTGTTACAATCCCAGGAGGCAGAACTGAAACAGATCGACGAGAAAAGCCAGCTTTTATTTTCTGGCCTAGAATGTTTCTCTAGCCACGAATCCAAGACGATGTTCATCTCTCCAAAGGTTAATTTCCTGCTTCCTTTTTCTCAGAATGCAATGAATGCCTGCTTAATCAGGCACCCCCCTCCCACCGTCATAATGAGCACTCGTGTACTCTTAAGTTAATAAAATGAGGATTTATTGAGTTTTCGGTTGTAATAAATAGTTAACAGTGACCTTTGTGATGGGCCCCGAGCCCTGGTAAACACAAAGTGGCCTCTGTGACTGCTGAAGGGGGACATGATCAACTGTATTCTTTAGTTTCAAAGGTGAGTCTCCCCCACCACTTTGCTGCAGTTTCAAGGCCTGAAGTTGAGTTTCGTTTTCTTAGCACATGGAGGTCCCAAAGATAACTCGGTCGAGCATTAAGATCTTAAAATTAAAAGGAAGGAAAAGCAAAAAGCAGAGGAGTGGGGAGAGAGTACAACAGGTGGTTGGCTTACCCTTGGCACTGTGGACAAACCTGCGCGGAGGGTGCCCAGAGCCCAGGGATCTCGTCAAACCTTCCCCCTGCTGCTCTGAAGGGGCTGGGAGGGGAGGTGAACCTGGCCACGCAGGGTTCCAGGAGAAAGTCAGCATCTGAAGGGTTTTTATTTCCAAGTGAAAAGCAGAGCAGCAGGAAATCAAGGCTTACTGACCCCACGCCCCACCCCTCCAGGCCGTTAGAACCCTGGAGCAGGACGCGAGCAAAGGAGCAAGCTCGCAGTCTTGGGCTGCTTTGTGATTAGTTTTTAAAAGACTGAATTTAAATGTAAAGCATGAACATAAGGAGAAAGGCATCAAGGCCTCAGCTTCCCGTAGCCCTGAAAGCTGGCCGTTGGAGCTCAAAACATGAGATTTCTAAGGAAGCCCGAAGGGACGGCCCCAGAGTGGACCCTGCCACGGGCAGGCCTGAGCTGGGCGACAGTCCTCTGGCGGCCACTCTCCCTTGGCCTCCCCAATCCTACCTGTCCCCACTTGTCTCCGCCAGCCTGTTGTTCATGATGGCAAAGGCTCCCACCCCCCCTGAGAATTCATTGTCCTGAGGCTGCGGGCCTGCCTGGTGTGGGCAGCCATTGACCGACTCCGACAGCTGCTTCTGGAGGATGGCCAGCGAGACCTTGTTGGCCGTGAGGAAGTCCTTCATGGAGATCATCTCCTCCGAGGGACGCCGCCTGACCGGGGGTCGCCGCCCGCCCGCGGGGCTCTCCGTCACCCCGCCCGTCTCTATGGAGAGGCTGCCCGGCACGACCGCGTTCCTCCGGGACCCCGGGAGGCCACCCTGGCACTGCTGGCAGCACCCGCCGTCCATTTTCCTCAGGATCCAGTTCACGGACTGCTTGATGAGGAGGGAGATGACATTGAACAGGGAGTAGATGCAGCAGACGCCCGTGAGGATGAAGGCGAAGTTGGCGAAGCGGTAGAGGCCCTGGCCCTGGTACGTGGCGTTCTGGCTGCTGACGAGGTCCCCGAAGCCGATGGTGCTGAAGGCCACGAAGCAGAAGTACAGGGAGTCGAAGTAGCTCCAGCCCTCGATGCAGGTGTACATGGCCGAGGCGCAGCAGGAGACGAGCAGGGAGGCCAGGCCCAGGATCAGCATGACGTAGTACACCGAGGGCTTCCAGCACCGCCCCGCGCTCCGCGGGCCCGCGGCGGGCACGGCGCCCTGGCGCCGGAGCTGCCGCTGGTGGCACGACTTCATGATGCAGGCGATGACGGTGATCAGCCGCTCCAGGAAGAGGTTGAAGAACAGGATGGTGCTCGCGCAGCCAATGAGGCCATAAAAGATCAGGAAGATTTTTCCTCCCACTGTCGCTGGAGTGGTCATCCCAAAGCCTGCGGGGACAAAAGTCAGAGGAGAGGAGGGTGAGGCAGGTCGGTGCTGCGAACGGGGCCAGGGTCTCGGGCTTTGATGCGGACAAAAGACCTACGGACAGTTTCACCAAAGCACTCAGCCCTAGGCCCCCCAGGAACGAGAGGGGGGTTCTCACTTCCTTTGAAGACGCTATGCGGGGTTCAGAGCTGGGGCCACTGGGCAAGTCAGAAAAAGGCATCTCGCCCTCCCGGTGAACACGCCGGTGATAACGGCTTGGCGATGACAAGGTGGGCAGGTTTCCACCCCCCTCCCCTGCCCTCCCCACCCTGCAGGCCGTCCTGGCACAGGGCACAGCCTGAACCACCACACTCAGCAGACGTGCAGAGAGATACACAGAGGCTCACACAAAAACAGGGAGTACACAGGCCCATGGAAATTCATTTATCCCGTAAACGTACTGAGCGCCATTCCAGGAGTGAGGGACAGAACTGTGGGAAAGACAGGCCCCTGCCCTCAGGGACTTCTTGTCCACTGAGGCGATTACTACATTGGGGAGGTTTGGGTGCAGCCATGAATGATGTCTTCTCTCTGGGGCTTGTAATTTTTTTCACCAGGCATCTCTTCTTCTCTCTGTGTAACCACCCCTCCAGCTCCTCCCTCCTTTCTTCAGTGACAATTGGGTATAAGGGACCCAAAGGAGCTTCAAGAAGCCCAAAAGGGATTTGGAATTTTTTAAATTCTCACCCGAGGAGATATATATATATATATTTTATATTGTTTTCTCCATTGCTTTTCAGAGAGAGTGGAAGGTGGGGAGAGAGAGACACACACACACATCGATTGGTGGCCTCCTGCTTGCACACCGACCACCAGGGATTGAGCCCTTGGCTGGAATCGAACCCAGGACCTTTCAGTCTGCTGGCCGACGCTCCACCCACTGAGTTAAACGGGCTAGGGCGAGGATTTGGAATCTAACGGAAATTCCATTTGGAAATCAAGCAGGTTGTCGAACCTGTTTCATGCTAAGGAGCAGACACCAGCTTAGGGGCACCGGCGGGGTGGGGTGAAGAGAGCATTTTACTGACCATACAGACTTGGGTCCTTTCCAGTTTGGGGCTATCACGGGCCGCGCTTCTACAAATACTCTGGAACGTGTCTCTTGGTGAACATATGTCCGCATTTCTCTCGGATACGTGCACTTAGGAGTGGAGCTGCTGACTCCCAGGGCATGTGAGCGTTCAGCAAAGTGGACGCACTGAATTACCTCGCCCTCATCAGTGCCTGCGGGGTCCAGCTCCTCCGCACGCTTGCCAATATTAATTTTAACCCTCTGGTGGGTACCCAGTGATTCTAATTAGCATTTCCTTGATGTTATTCAATCGAGCCTCTTGTCGCATGTTCTGGAGTCATTTGGGCATCTTCTTTAGCACCTGTTCAACTCTTCTGCCTGTTTCCTTTCTTCTTGTTGACTTCTAGGTGACAAGGAGACACAGGAGCTCCTCCTCGAGCGCTGCCATGAAGGAGCCCGGCTTTGCCTGGTGAATTTTCTGTCTCATTCACGCATGGGCGTTGGGTGCCTGGCAATCTGTTCGGCCAACTTTATATTTTGCGTGCCACTCGTTTCTTTGATGGAGAATTATTTCTAACGTTCCTTATGCTAGCCAACACACCCTCTGGTGTAGATGTGGTAACAGCATTGGCAGTGCTTAATAGCCACCTCTTGAGAATGGATTCCAGATAGACTCTCCCACTGACAGCTAAGGTCCTGAGGGGCATGAACTGAAGTCAACGTACACAGACGCACCCTGACCGGTGTGGAATGAAGCACGTTTCACGGTAAGTGGCCACTCAGACAGTAGAGTAACGCCAGAAAATGCTCACGTTTGTGCTCTGTCGGGGCTCTCATTTGCAAACCATGGCTTAGACCCTATAACTGGAAGGTAAAGTTGTGCACCCAAAGCCGACATGCTCTGTAGGAAATAATTTCCACTTACCTCACACTTGAGCAACTCTGTAGACCAGCAAATCTAAGCTGATGACTCAAAATCCTTTTTCAAGACCTTAAAAAACTTTTAAAAGTACCCTCCCCCATCCCAAACCCTGTTGGTTGGGTTCTGCAAGATAGGATTCTGCAATAAACACAACTCCCTTCTGGCTCGATGGGATTTAACACTGTGCCATGTTTGCGTTCACTATAATTTCCTCCTATGAACTAAAAAAGAGCAATCCCTGTGAATTAATAAAATTGAGCTAAGAATGTCTCTCCTTTGGCCTGGTTCTTCCTTCACAACTGACCACCGGGAAGCTCCCGAGAAGGCCCAGTGGGCTGTAAACCCGCCTTCTCTGGCTGCGGTGGGTCTTCCTCACAGTTCAGCACTAGTCCCGTGGCTCAGGGCCCTGCACGGGTGTTAAACCTCCCTGGGCTCTTACGCACAAGACCATTTGACTGTTTATTTCAGCTCCTCCAAGCAGGCAGGACAGCATCACAATGATGATAATGGTGATTATTCACCCGTACAGGGCACTCACCCCGAGCCAGACACCATGCTTAGTGCTTCACACAAAAATACTTCTCCAATCCCCATGCCAACCTTGCGAGGAGAAATCTGAAGTACAGAGAGGTTAAGAAACTTGCTCAAAGTCACACAGCAAGCTAGTTCGGAGCCTGGGTTCTAGTTCAGACTGTTAGTAACTAGTTATGTGATGGCCACAACTTATTCTGGTTGTCCCTTTGGGAAAATGAGGGTAGGGTGGCCCAGATGAACTCTAAGGACCTTCAAATTCTGATATTCTGTGATTCACATGTGCAGGGCACAAATCTGAGCGCATTCTATATATTCAATCATCCCCAGGATTCTGGGGAGAGCTCACCTTGGGTATCCATGGCTCTTCTACAGGCTGGGCAGGTAAATCTACAGTGTACCAAGGGGAGATATTTCCACTGTAAACCTGAGCTATTTTCTGCAGCCGTTACTGTGTAGATGCAGGAGTTATGGGTTCTTCTTAAAGTTAAGAATATTTTTGGAATTTGCTACTTTTAGGGTTATAACTCCTCTCTCATTTTGTTAACAAGGAAGCATCTTTGACAAAATATTTTGAAATCCCATGTAGTAAAGATGTAACTATTTTCCTGGTAACCTCTGAACTAGGGGACCTTTCTACACTCTTTAGCAATAGTAGATTATAAGTAAAAAATAAATTACTGCTTATTCTAACGATGAAAATTGAAAACTTGGGTGTGACAAAGAAGAATTCTTTAAATAGTGTGCATGACTAAAAGTCACAGTCATTTTGATATTCAGAGGCAACAAAAATTAGCCTCCAGGGCATCAGAATAAGTCAGCTCCCAAAGAGGAGTTTTACACATTGCATTTCCCTGAGAAATACGCTGAGTTGCGGGGGTATTTAGATCGGTGTTTCATGCTTTCTCAAGCTTTTTCCTCCCCACAGACATCAGCAGGCACGACGCTGAAATAAAAGCTGTCATTATAGCTGACTCTGCTCCCATTTACAGGGGAGAATCATTTACTTATCTCGAGTAGGTGTTCCAATGCCAGAGCTACTTAACTTTTAAATCGTGAAACCACTCCTTAAAAGCGAGCACCTATAATTATGTTCTCTCTTGAGCTAAATTACCCTCCTCCGGACGACGGAGAAATGGTTCAATTAAGCAGAATGTTACCACCATGCGTGAGAAGATCTGGCTACAAGACACTTTGAGGAACTATGAAGATGCCACCTGTATTGTGATGGCTCTCAGCCCACCTTCTCCACACCCTCCCCCTCCCCACAGAAGCCTCTTCACTCCGGTGGGATGCTAGTGCTCCCCGAAATCCAGCGTGAAAGCCAAAGACCTGGAGAATGTATTGGTGGCTCTCTTGTCTTTGACGGTTTTACTCAGGTGTGTGATATTCTTTCAAGAAGAACCAGGCATGGCCTGGGCAAGCTACACGACAGATCATATAGGACTTAAGAAATAAATGTGTTCCTCTGGCCGTTGTGGCTCAGTGGCTGGAGAGTCGGCCCGANCCTGGGCAAGCTACACGACAGATCATATAGGACTTAAGAAATAAATGTGTTCCTCTGGCTGTTGTGGCTCAGTGGCTGGAGAGTCGGCCCGAGCACCAAAGGGTCTTGGGTTTGATTCCCAGTCAAGGGCACGTACCTGGGTTGCAGGTTCGATCCCCGGCCCTGGTTGGGTGCAGGAGGCAACCAATCAATGTCTCTCTCTCACATCAATGTTTCTCTTTTTATCTCCCTCCCTCCCTTCCTCCCTCCCTTCCTTCCATTTTTTAAAAAGACTCTTTAGAGACCCACCACTTAAACCTTGCTCTTTTTAGAGGCACCTCCTAGGCTGTATCAAAATGAATCACTGCTCTGTAATAAACTATTCTTTGAGGGGACCCTATTGGGCCCTCTCCTTAAAGACATTTAATTCTGATATTATTCGTTCCAGAAATCAGTCTTTTGCCCAAAGCCAGCAGAGAACCCATCTCAGGAAGCACTGTGACACTCACGCACAGATGGAATCACTGTCATAACTGAACTGCCAGAGGAAACGTTTGAAAATATCGTAACAAAGGTGTTTCAGCTGGTCACGGGGAAAGAAAGGGCCGATTCACTAGGCTTTACTTTCCCACTGAAGGAACAAACACCGAAGACAAACACCTCCCGGGAATTCTCACCCAAGGAGAGGGTCTTTAGTAAATTACTTTTAAGAAAAGGAAATGTGAACTCAGAACACGTGCGAGGCCCCAGTGCACACCAGGGCCCAGGTTCACCCTGAATAACGCGCACGTCTTGTCAATCACACGGCCGATGCTGAGTGGGGCCCGATTTCACGGAAAAACACGCGGCTGGAAAAGGGAAAGTCACTGCTACTCCCTGGGAACAAAAGAGGGAGGCGCAGGCGCACATTCAGACAAAAGGCCTTGAAGAGAATGGTTTACACCCTGAACCGGGCTCAGAGGCTCTCCCAGCTCAGTGCGCTCTCACGGGGGCTGGGGGGTCCACACCAAGGGCTGTCTTCACATGACGCCATTTCTAGTTTTACTGGCAAAACAGGCTCTCCAATAGAAGTTCACCGAATTTGCCCTTTTTCCCCTTAAAAACGTTCTGCACCTCTGCCTCTCTCTTCTCTCCAGTGTGCATCTGAAGTGTCCTTCTCCTTGGCAGGTCGCCTGTGTTTGTTCGCCACCTCTGCTCACTCATCTGACAAACATTTATTGAGTGTGTACTACGTGCAGTCGCTGGGCTGTTATCAGTAAACAAGACATCGCCTCTCAGCTGCCTTCAACTACATTTCTTCCAGAACTCACATTTCCTTTCCCCACCAATTTGTTTCATTGGGTACATTTTTCCTATTTCTTGGCCTTTTGTATTTCTTCTGTGAATTCCTATTCATGTCTCGTATTTCTATTAATTATTTTTCTTATTGGTTTGTGAGAGCTCTTCATATATACTTGTTTTTAAAAATTAACTTGTCTTTTATGTACGTTAAATATTTTTTCCCAATTTATGTTTGCCTTTTATTTTTACATAAATGTTTTGTTGCTATACCAAAGTTTAATTTATATGTAGGCGAATCCATCAATTTCTTCTTTTGTGGCATTTGGCTTTGGGATTCAGTGGAGAATGGTTCTAATTTTAAAAGCAGCTTATGATTTAATTCCTCTTCAACTGTAGGGATCTAACATTTTAAACATTGCTATTCTCAGCGCCACTTTTAATTGAAATTTTTTTATTGAGATAATTGCAGATGGATAGGCAATGGTAAGAATACAGAGTCTGTTTATACTTTTCCCAGTTTCCCCTAGCGGTAATATTTTGCAAAACTGTAGTGTAATATTACAACCGGGATATCGACATTGATGCAACCCACCGGTCTTATATTCCCCGATTTATTTGCACTCTGTGTGCGTGTGTGTGTGTGTGTGTGCACTCAAGTCTATACAATTTTGCCACATGTGTAGACTTGCAGCATCATTAAAAAATGCTCCATTCTTTCTCTACTCTCTTGAAATGTCACTTTTATCAGAAATGCCACTTTCATCTGACATTTGTTTCTGGATTCTGTATTTTGTTCCATTGTTCTGTCCATGCCGGGACAGGCGCCAAAACCAAACAGTTCTCTTTAATATCCATGAAGAACCCCCCTCCCTTCGCTGCTCCCCCCTTCCTCCTCTCTCCTTTTTCTTTCCAAACCTTCCCTGGCTTAGTTCATGTTCGGTTTCCCTGATGAGCTTTAGAATCACTTGGTGAAGTTCCAGAGAAGGTGTCTGGATTTTGACTGGGGTCACCTTATCCTGAGAGGCTCACTTGTGGAGAGATGACACCCTCGTCAAACGGAGTTCCCCGGGACCACGGGTCTCTCTCCGTCCCCAGAGCTCTTGAAAGTGAGCCTGCCAGCACCTGTCACCCCTTCGCAGGGATCCTGCACAAACCGTCACACCGACCGGTCCCTGCTGCACAGCTTTTTAAAAGACGATGTAAATGAAGTCTCTCCTCCACCACACACATCTTTTTCTTTTTTTTAAATTTTATTTTTAAAAATATATCTTTATTGATTTCAGAGAGAGGAAGGGAGAGGGAGAGAGAGAGGCAGAAACATCAATGATGAGAGAGTCATTGATGGAGCCCGCAACCCGGGCATGTGCCCTGAC